ATATATAATATGGATTTCTATAAGAACACATATTCCAGGATTAAACTTCAAATTACATCTGGTCTTATTCAATCAATCAAAATCTTGCCTAATATTTTAAGATATCTCTGTATATTGCGACATTGGACAACCACAAATGTTGCAATACTCAGCTGTTTTTTTTAGGTAAATATTGAACATTAATTAGTGATGACATTATTTAATCGAATGAATTTCTCAGAAATCCATTCATTTACCGATTTCATCGCCTGAATTCCGGTTGCTATGGTTACGAGAGGAGAAGCAGCCGAGCTCATCTAACGGCGGGAGCGCGCATCGGGAAAGCGAAAGGCTCGGAGCGCGTAACACAGCTCCAGTGGTGCTGATGCGGCATCTGTAAGCGGGCGCTGGGAAGACTGGGGGAGAGGCAGAAAGGATGTAAGGAACAAGTCAGAGAAAAAATGAGGAAGGGAGGGAGTGACGTCGCCATAGAGACAGGGAGACGGGGCAGGGAGAGAGAGGGGGAGAGGATGAGGAAAGCTGAGACAACTGCATCAAAGACATAGGGAGAAATTAAAAAAAATACATAAACATTAGAGAAGAGCAGGTACCTAAAATGAGATATTTGTCAATTGAAACAAAGAGTATGCTGTAGTTAAAGACCTGAACCCCAGAAAAAAAAGGTAATCTTCTTTCATTCGTGTTTAATTTGCACGCTTTGTCCCGGTGAGGAACAGAGCAATATATTCGTCTGCATAATCTTCACTTTGCAATACAAAGTGACAGTTCACAGAGCTTTCCACGGCCTGCACAAGAACAGGGCTCGGATCTGTAGACACACCAGATCCTGGGCGGTCCTCAGCTTGCCTGGCATGCGTCCGCGTATACTAAATACCTTGTAGATTGTAGCACAGTGTTACGGCGATAACCGCGGCTTCAAATTTTGTGGAATATCCGTTCTTTCTCTTTCTCTCCATTGTAGTTTTATAATAAAGCGAATACTGAAGCATCCGGTCTAAAATGAAGTACGGCTACGGCGCCGTTATGGAACAGACGTGAGCTGCTGATGCATTGTGAACTGCTGCTCTCAGCTGATGTGAGCACATGGGATTTTGCGCGCCGGCAAGTGAGCGGTAGATACTGCCTTCTGCATCCCAACGCGAGGGGACCTACAGTATACCAGCCAAATCACCTCCACCCAGAAGCGTCTCTGCTTCTTTGTTTCCCAGGCTGCACGCTTAGCCCGCCCTGTGCTGTCCGGGGAATCCGGAGTAGCCTCCCCCGTGCAGTGGTGCCGATCTCCTCGCTCTCCCGGTCCAAAAAAAAAAAATCTGCAGTTTCATCGTGATGGCTCGTGTCTCAGCCGGACGCCGCCGCAGCGTTTCCGGCCCCGAGCGAGCACGAATTGGCGGAATCCAGGAGATGCAGGGGTCGTACATTACCAGTAGTATGCTGTTAAAAATGATTCATTTGGGCTTTAGATTGTAACGTATGGTAAGGGCATTAGACTTGCAAGCAGCAAACAAGTGCTCGTCTCTGGCATAAGGTAAAAACGGTTTTCCATAATAATAATAATCTGCGCGTCCATTGCAATTACTGGTGTAATTAGGAGTGTGAACTGTAATCGCTAGGAGATGGTTTAGCGTGAAGTAGTAATTGATGGTCTCTTATACGGTCTTTAACGTCCTTGCGTGCTCTGTTTTGTATTGTTTTATATATACATACATATTTGTGTGTTTTAATGAATGCAGCTGATGCTGCTCCGCACCTGTCAAAATGCTGGTCCCATCTCCTGACTCAGCAGCTCTCACGAACGGCGCCTTCCGCTGTGACAGCAAGACGGACACATGCCGTGACGGGAGTATATCTGCCGACAGTGCTGGGATTCAGAACGTGGGTCTCACAGGGCACAAATACAGCAGATCAACGACCGTCCTGATCTGGACTTGGCATTCTGTTTTAAATCCGACTAGCCCGATTGTTATGAATGAATGTAGCTGATGGCAGACCAAGCCAACATAATATGACCAGCAGAAAATGATTCAGACTAAAGATATTGTGCCGTTCATTCATAAGGGCTGTCATCTCCTGTCTGTGTGCAGCTATGATGTCGTCCCCTGGGGCGGGCACACCGAGCGATGCCCTCCTGCCCAGTCCGGGGGGCCCCTGCGGAGCAGCTTGGGGCCCCTCTGGCTTCCCATCATCCACCACCCGCCACCTCAGCCACCGCGCCAACAACTTCAAGCGGCACCCCAAAAGGCGGAAGCTGATCCGGCCCTCGCCCCCTCCGCCCCCCAACACCCCCTGCCCCCTGGGGCAGCTGGACCTCAGCGAGCTGCCCCCGCCGCGGCGCACCTTCCCGGAGCTGCTCTTCAACGGCTGCATCCTGTTCGGCATCGAGTTCAGCTACGCCATGGAGACGGCCTACGTCACCCCCGTGCTGCTGCAGATGGGCCTGCCCGACCAGTTCTACAGCCTGGTGTGGTTCATCAGCCCCATACTGGGTAACGCTGTGCCCCTGCTACTGAGAGAGAGTGGGAGGGCCCTGACGAGATGTACCCACACACTCAAAGTGCAGTGCAAACTGATGAACACCTAGAACGGGCCCACACTCTTTAAGAGCATGAAGAGGGGATTTCTCAACATAGCATTTTAAGACTTTTCATCTTTATTAAATATTTGCTGTTCTTGTTCTAAAAATCCTGCACTGCATGGGGTAATCAACTGTGTCAGTGATCGCTGCGGAAGTGTTTTTGTGTTCTTTTGCTGTATGTCTACGAGCTGTGTTGGCAACTTCATTTCCTCCTTAGGGATTATTAAGGTGTGCGGTTTTGTTAAAGGGTCAAAGCGTGATTCGCTGTGTATCTCCGGTTTCCCCAGGATTCCTGGTCCAGCCGATCCTGGGTGCGTGGAGTGACCGCTGTACTTCCTGCTTCGGCCGACGCCGGCCCTTCATCCTGGTGCTGGCCATCGGTGAGGACACGCCCTCACTGCGATCTCGCGGTGCGGCTCTGCGGCTGGTCAGCTGATCAGCCAGTGGTCACGTGACCAGCTGCTCTGCGGTCCTGTGACGCAATGAGCTAACTTGGCACAGGACCATTCTCAGATTTTGTTTGTGGCCTAATTTTATAGCTTAAAACATACTGGAGCTGTCGAGGCACATGCGTCTGCACTGGTCGACATGGTATCCAACATGTATGTCCTGGAGCAGCGTGTCACCAAGTCCTTATCTTTGCTTACTGCACTGGAGTGAGTTCACCCGTGTTTGTGTCTGTCTGCCCTGTGATGGCCTGGCGTCGCATCCAAAGTGTTCCCTGCCTTGTGCCCGTTGCTTACTGGCTCCCTTGTGACCCTGAATTGGAAAAAGCCATTAGAAAATGGGTGGATGGAGTTTAGTCTCAGATAACACAGTGTCTTAATGCATAGCCCCAAGCCAGCAGTGAAACCAGACTTGACATCTCTATAGGCAGGCTTGTTAGTTCATGCCATCAAAAGCCCCAAACCACTTGCCAAGCAGGTAGCTTCCTCCCTTCTGATTCCCATAGTGATCATAGGCTACTTGGAGATGATAACTTCTCAGCAGAAGTAATCTAAAAGCTGAATATGTATATTTCCAGGACGTGATTCTGTTATGATGATTGCTCAGTGAGTGTGTGGGGTCTGTGATTTCTGTCCTCTCCCCTTTTCTGTTTTTGACTCAAAACTCTGGAGAGTTATGTTGCCTGCGGAAAATTTCATCCTCTATATTGATTGCTCCTATGATCCCGTAGTAACCAGCCTGATCGTCTTCCCGATTCCAGGGGCGCTGTTTGGCCTGACGCTGGTGCTCAACGGCCGGGACATCGGGACAGCGCTGGCCGACACTGCGGCCAATCACAAGTGGGGGATCGTGCTGACCGTGTGCGGCGTGGTCCTGATGGACTTCAGCGCCGACTCGGCGGACAACCCCAGCCACGCGTACATGATGGACGTGTGCAGCCCGGAGGATCAGGATCGCGGCCTCAACATCCACGCGCTGCTGGCAGGTCAGGACGCACGGCCCCTCGTCCCCGGATTTCAGAGTCTGCCCCTGTAACCATTCCAGCCCTGATGCGCCTCTGCTCCACACACGCAAGGACAAGGTCCCTTGTTCCTGCGCTGTAAGCTGCAAGCAAACACAATTTCAGTCAGACAGCAGCCTGCTGTTTCCTCGCGCTCTCCTCAATAACCAGCTAGAGGCAACACTCTGGTAGATGGGCTCACCAATTTGAAATATTGATCATATTCTCCCGTTTTTATATTACAGTTCCTCGCTTTAGTTAATCTGAGCGCTGTGGTGCTACAGAAAGGGCTCTTTCATTCACGGTCGCTCATTAATTGGTACAGTGGATTTCTTCAGAAATCAAAAGACTCATGACTGGTGCATTGTGGGTTCAAGCACCTGCTGCAGGCTCTTCTGATGTGCCTTCTGTTGGGCGCAGAATTTGACATCAGTTGCTCCGGTTGCCCCAGATGTATTAGTGGGAGCCGGCACTGCCATAGCAAGGGTAATCCCGACCCTAGACCAGCATCCGGTCCAGAGGAAGAGTCACGTGCTGTCTCCTCCGCTGAATGTCACAGAAAGCAGCTCTGGCCTGCTGAGCCACAGCAGCTTGGATATGCGAATTACCTTTCTCCCTGGTAACTAAGCCAAGCTCTTTTGTGTGCCGTATTCCTTTGAAAAGGACAGTGTGTTCCCAGTCATACTGGTTTGTGACCACTGGGTCTTTCGAAGTTCAGTATCCACTGATTCTACCTCTGCTCTGTCCCTCTCGCCAGGGCTCGGCGGCGGCTTTGGCTACGTGGTTGGCGGCATCAACTGGGACCACACGGAGTTCGGGAGGTCACTGGGGGGTCAGCTGAGGGTCATCTACCTCTTCACCAGCATCACCCTTATTGTCGCCACGGCGATGACGCTCACTAGCATCCCGGAGCGGCCCCTGGCCCAGGCACATCCCCTGAAGCGTCCCAGGAACACGCTGAAGAGCCCCAGTCTGCCCCTGCCCCCCTCGCCCCCTGTCCCCCCCGGGCAGGCGCAGGTGGACGATGGAGAGGGGAATGAGGACGTGAGGGCTGCTGGGGAAGAACTCCATAGCTACCAGTGCTATGACCCGAACCCCTGCCAGCCCGACCCCCTGGCTCTGTCTGTCAGCACCCACACGCGACTCTACGCTGGCCTCACCAGCCCCCTCTCGCCTCTCAGCCCACTTACGCCCAAATACGGCAGCTTCATCAGCCGGGACAGCTCCCTCACTGGCATCAACGAGTTCGCCTCCTCTCTCGGGACGTCCTACATCGACAGCGTGCTGATCGACTGCTACACAGGACAGCAGACACCCCAGCCACCTGAGCCCGATGGCTGCACCCACCCTCTCCCAGCGGGGGACACCCCTCCCACTCTTGGGTCGGGGGGAGGCCTGCCAAGGGCAGGCAGCTCAGGGATCCTGAAGCGCCCCCAAAGTCTGGCTCTGCTGGACGACACTCTGCCGCCCACGGGCCCTGGGGCAGAGAACGGCCGCAGGAGAACTGTCACCTTCAGGCAGCAGGTCAGTCTGAAAGGGCGGGGAGGAGGAAGGGAGTCTTCCAGCTTGCGCAGATCATAGGAGTTTCTCATCGTTTCATTGTCGGCAGAGGTTGCATGTTTTATCTGAAGTGCATTTTACACTTGGGGTGCACGATCATGACAGCATGGCGGCCACAGGCTCTTGGGTTCAGGTCTAAATTCCGGGTACTTGCCTGAGAGGGGTTTGCATCTTTTCCCGTGTTTTCTGTGAGGAGTTTCCTCAGTTTCCTCCCACCTTCCAAAGACTCTAAGAAGGAGTCACAGTGCTGGGGCCCTGGGTTCAATTCCTGGGGCCCTATCTGCGTGGGGTTTGTATGATCTCCCTGTGTTCGCGTGGGATTCCTTCCACAGTGTGAAGACATACTGGGAGGTTTATCGGCCTCCAGGAAGGGTGGCCCTGGGGTGAGTGTGGGTCTGTCTGTGTCTGTGCACCTGACCTGTGATGGACTGAAGT